TACCTGAGCGTGACTTGGGTTATGTGATTTATTGTGATGCTTCATGTGATGGGTTGGGATATGTGTTGATGCAGGATGGTAGAGTAATGGCTTATGGGTCTCGATAATTAAAGACTCATGAGTACAACTACCCTACTCATGATCTAGAGTTGGTGGCAGCCGTGTTTGCTCTGAAGTGTTGGAGACACTATTTGTATGGTGAGAGATTCGAGGCACTCTCAGATCACACGAGTCTCAAGTTCCTTTTCTCCCAAAAGGACTTGAATAACAGACAGAGACAATGGGTTGAATTTTTTGAAGATTACAATTTTGATTTGCAGTATCATCCGGGCAAGGCAAATGTGGTAGCAAATGCCTTAAGCTAGAAATCTCATGGGACTTTGGCCGGATTAGCTATTCGGAAATGGAAGATGCTTAATGATCTGGCGAAGATGGGATTGTATTGTGTTGACAACGATGGTTGCGGTGAATCGGCATTCTTGTTTAGTCTTCTGGCTCAGCCTACTCTTGTTGTGCGAGTGATTGAGTCACAGAGACATGACTCGGATTTAGATATCGCTTACACTTTAATCTCCAATGGTGAGATGGTGAAAGATTGGACCTTACATGTAGACGGGGGTCTACGATTCAAGGGTTTGTTGGCGGTTCCCACGGTTTTTCGTGAGGGCGTCTTACGGGAGTTTCACACTTCCCGCTTTGCAGTTCATTCATGTGGTACTAAGATGTAACACAATTTGAGACGTCAGTATTGGTGGAACGAGATGAAGAAGGATGTTGCACAATTTATGGCTAGATGCCTTACCTGTCAACAGGTGAAGGCCGAGCATCAGAAATCGGCTGGGTTATTGCAACCATTGCCTATAGCGCAATGGAAATGGGAACATATTGCTATGGATTTTGTGACAGGTCTTCCAAGGTCACGGAGATGTAACGAGGCCATATGGGTCATCATTGATAGACTGACCAAGACGACTCACTTTTTGCCTATTAAAGCGACAGATGATGCAGAGGCACTTGGTAATCTTTACGTGAAGGAGATTGTAAAGTTACATGGAGTCCCAGTAACCATTGTCTCAGATAGGGATGCCAAGTTCACTTCGAAGTTATGGGAAGGACTTCAAGCAGCGTTTGGTTCAGCGTTACACCTTGGTACGGCATTCCATCCACAGACAGATGGCCAGTCGGAGCGTACTATCTAGATCTTGAAGGATATGCTTCGGGCATGTGTGCTTGACTTGGGTGGTAGTTGGGAAGATCATCTACCGCTTATTGAGTTTGCTTATAACAACAGTTATCAGGCGAGTATCGAGGTGGCTTCATTTGAGGCGTTGTACGGTAGGCCTTATAAGTCTCCAGTTTGTTAGACTGAGGTGGGCGAGACAGCCTCCTTAGGACCCGACATTGTACTCGAGACTACCGAGAAGATTAAATTGATCAGACAGAGATTGCTCATAACTCAGAGCCGACAAAAGAGCTATGCAGATAGGCGGAGACGATCGCTATCTTTTGAGGTGGGAGACCATATTTTTCTGCGGGTTTCTCCACGGAAGGGTTTGATGAGGTTCGGGAAAAGTGGCAAGTTGTCGCCACGATTCATTAGGCCGTTTGAGATTTTGGACCATGTAGGAGAAGTTGCCTACAAACTTGCTTTACCACCACAGATGGACAAGGTTCACAATGTTTTTCATATGTCGATGCTACGGAAGTACGAACCGGATCCATCTCATGTGTTAGATTGGGTTGACTTGGACATTGATGATGATGTCTCTTATGAAGAGGGACCAGTGCAGATCCTTGACACACGGCAGAAGGTGTTGAGGGACAAAACAGTACAGTTAGTGAAAGTTCTTTGGAGACACCACGGAGTCGAGGAGGCTACTTGGGAGCTTGAACAACAGGTTCGCTCCAGATACCCAGAGTTGTTTTCTTCCCCAGGTATGACTTGATTTTGGGGACGAAATTCTTTTTAAGTTGAGGAGATTGTGATGTTTCCAATTTTCAGCATTTTTTTCATTTTTCAGAAATTTTGTCACCGCAAGGGCATTTTCGTCTTTTACCATTTTGCGTACTGAACACTACGGGGCGTGCCGGTCGTGTCTGAGAGTTGTTTGGGACATTTCATTGAGTCTAGGACTCTTTGAAATGTAAGGGTGTTTTATCTTTCCATTTTTCAGTTTTTCGGGCCGGACGGTCCCGTGTGGGACCCGCTGCAAGTACGGTTGCATCCGGGGAATTTGGTTGGGATTAATTTGCATCATGTTTAAGTTATTTAAGACGTTACTTATGGTTATGATTTAATATGTGTATTTATATGTGTATGTGGTGAGAATTAAAGTTAAAAAGAAAAGGAAAAATAAAAAGAAATTAGTGAGGCCCACCATCATTGGTTATAAGGCTAGAGATCACCCATTGGGTCTCACATTCTTTCCCCCTCCTGCTGGTATTTCTCTCTCACCCCATTCTCTTGCTTTTTCTTTTTCTTTTGAGTTCAAACTTCAACTTTAGATCTCTCTCTCAATACTTGATCATTTTGGGTGCCGTTTGCAGCAAATCGAAGCCCACGACGAGATCTTTCATTTGATCGGAGCAATTTGGTGTTTGGTGCACTATAGGAATTTTGAATTCTAGGGCACAATTGGGGGTTTTGCACAATCTTGAGGTAGGGGTCTCTAATTCACACATTTCTTGCACTTTAGTGAGTTACTCTCCTATATGTATGCTAAGCATGCTTAATTTAAGTTGATTATTATTTTTTTTTAAATGATTTAATTGCGTATATGAAGAGTGTATCTATGTGTACTAGTTGCTTTACATGGAGATTATGCTTAATTGTTGATTAATTGTGCCTATTGTGTTTGCTAAAATTGCTAGATGAGGTTGTGAGCAAGCATGATAATTTTGTGACATTAAATTCTCCATTTTTTAATATTGTTAAAGCATGTATATGCATCCAAAGCATCGGGCATGAAAAAGGGGTGAAGTAATTTTTGAAAAGAACAAAAAGGGGAATTTTGGGGAAACATTTTTGAGAAAACCCGGTCGCCGCGGGGGTACCAAAGGGCTGGTGGGTTAATATAGCCTAGAGGGAACTAGGGAGACTGCCCTAGCGTGGTTGAGCTATCTGGGCCCAAAATGACGCTACGGGGGTACCAAAGGTTAGGGACAGTAGCCAATCCTTCTCTCGTGTCGCTGCAGGGTCACCAAAGGGCGGGTTATATTAACAGTTTGTGAAGTGATGGATTTTCCTGAAAATGAGGAGTGACATACATGACATAGCATTCATGGCACGATATTTGTTTATTCGAATCTGGATTTGACATTGTATTCTCCCGATTTAGTATGATCCCTATTTCTATTGTTCCGTTCTTTGTTTAGATTCACGGGGCTACAAGGGGTGTGCCTTGGCATTACCTACTAAGCTTTTTGCTCACCCTATCATTTACTATTTTCAGGGCGGGGAAAGGAAGTGATGGATGATATTCCCCCACAAGCTTGAAGAGGAATAAAAGTTCACTTTTGATGCCTTTTGTGTAATTGTCATTCTTTTGTAATGTCTCAGGTTTTAGAAAAAAATGTATTCGTGTTGAAAGCCGTGGCCATGTAATGTAATTAGAGTGTTGACGAAAATTTGTAATGTAAGGAGACTATGTAATTATATTGTGAAAAATGGCAAATGGAATGTAGTTTTTAATCATTTCTTAAACGTCATTTAATTGTATAACACTATATCTGTTGCCGCGAATTCGGATATGAAGTATATTACAGGTCCGGGTGAGTTGGGATAGTGGTAATCACAGACAGTATGCATTCTAGTGAGTTTAATCCCAGGTTTACATGATTCGGTCGGCTGATCCTCTCCATCAGCCGACCGAAACCTCAGGTTCGGCTGACCGAAACCTCAGGTTCGGCCGACCGAACCCTCATCGTCAGCCGACCGGTAGCTTGCATAGTGAAAGTCCCGAGAGCACTCAATCCTTCTCATCGTTTCGGCCGAACGACCATGTAAGTCAGCCGGCCGACCATGCCTTGTCAGTCGGCTGATAAAGGTCCATTAGCTGGCTGACTGTTTCTTTTTTACCTGAAATGTTAGATCATCGTTGTAAGCCTGTGTTCTTGAGTACTATGAGCCCCGGGGTGAGTCGTGTAACTGGTTTGAACATAGGAAAGGGAGTGTATGACTTAGTTGACCTCGGTTTCGTGTAAGAACCCCGGTAACGGTCCGGATCCACGGATTCGGGTCGTTACAAGAGTGCAAGGCTTAAATATGGACTACGGGACATGGGGAGCAATCCAACCACTCAGCAACACGACACTTGCGATTGCACTTTCATAGTTTGTTACACTAATCTAACAGATTTATCTATAATTTATTGGCCTCCTTGGATCATGTGTCCTTTTCTCAACACTCTAGCTTTATTTAATTATTTTTCTCTATAATTTTATTTTATTATTATTTTTTTTTAAGAAGTTAAAGCAAACACAAATCCATTATTCACATATCTCTAGCAAGACTTGAAACCCTAACCTCTCCGCTTGGGAATGAGATGTTATACCATTAAATCAAAAGCCCTTTGATTTTTGAACGAAAGAGAGACGTGATAGTCCTCACTCTAGACTTTTAAAAAGGGGGTTTGTGGAAATTATTTTATACTTTTGAAAAGGAGAGCTTGGTTTAGTTTTTTTTTTAAAAACAAATTTTAGGAACTCGATCTATTCTCCTTATTGAGTTAAAAAAAAAAAATACCCTTATTAAAGTTTTCACTAAATCCCTTATATAAGGCCACAAAACCCACCACAATTGACAAATAATTTTTTTTTTTATTTAAAAAAACTAGAATTTCTTTAATTTGAATTGCCTTTCTTATGTTAGCATGAAAGTGATTGAAATGGGAGTATTTTAAATAATAATTATTATTATTATAATTTATTTAAATAAAAAAGGAGGATTAGCGATTTCGACATTGAGTAAATAAATACCCAATTCAGGAAAAAAAAAATAGAAAAAACCTAAATACCAAATTCTTCTATTTTACTATAAATTTATTGTATCTCGAATCCAATCTGTTTGGCTACAAGGAAAAGTAAAGAAATTGCAACTTTGAACTCCCAAGTTGTATATATTGGGGATTTTCCCTCAACTGACCCAAATAATTGTACTGAGAAAACTATGGAAAAGTAAAGGAGGCTTCAGCGGAGCTATTCAATTCCTTTCCTTTTTCAAAATTAAAAGTTCCCTCTTTTTTTACTGCATTTTCTCAGTAACCAAACAGACACTAGGGCTTTCGGAAAGGCCAAGTGAGAATGAATGCAAGCAGTTTGGTCGCAGAGACGGTGTGGAGAGAAATCGAATCAACCCGTTCAGGTTTTGTTCGCTCATCTATTCCAAATTCAATTTGTTTAACTTCTCTCTATACTCATATTCTCTCTCTCTCTATATATATATATATCTGCGGCGTCAACATCACATCTATTGATTTGGAACTAAGCAGTAACCGATGATCAGCTCTCCATGTTAGTATGTGCTTCTCTATGTGTATTTTGCCTCAATTATAATTGATTATGAAGCATCAATTGATATTTACGTATAAATTTATTGCATCATCTGTATATCGATTTTGAATAATAATCATTTGTCATGTTATTCATGTACATATGGAAATGAAAATTTGAGCTGATTTGCTGTTTTATATGCAGCTTACATTTTTTGTTTGGGAAAAACTTGGAGAGAGCGACTAGGATAGTGGATCAACAAGGTGTGAAGAGGATATCCGGTGAACCCAGTGGGCGTTCCATCTTTCAGGTTGCTTGTGTACCTCTCCTTCCACATTTTGTGAACATAGGTTTTAAGTTTCAACCTTTAATTGTACAAATTCAAACTTTTATTCTGAACCCGACTCAAAATTGGAGTTCATTTGCCTTCAAATTGTGGAATTTTCCATGAAAATACAATACACTTTAGAAGGTTTAATTGGGTTTTAAATTCTATTTATTTGCTTTATATAGACAAATGATTAAGAAATTCAAGTTTGCTTTATAGACGTGCAGAGGTAAGACTGCATACATCTTACCCTCCGATTCTGCAGTAGCGGGAATCTTGTGCATTAGGTGAACCCTTTTAGACAAATGATTCGGAAATTTGATTTCGTTTTTTAAATTGTGGATTTTTTTGCTGAATATACAAAACACCTTGGAAGATTTAATTGCTTTTAACTTCTATTAAATTTCTTTGTATAGACAAATGATTCAGAAATTTGAGTTTTACTTCTATTAATTTGCCTTGATAGACAATTCTGGATTATTCTCTGAAAATACAATACGCATTGGAAGGTTTAATTGCTTTTAACCTCTATTAAGTTACTTTGTATAGACAATTGATTCAGAAATTTGAGTTTGAATTCTATTAATTTCCCTTGATAGACAAATGGTAAATTGTCTATTAAGTTTGCTATTAACTTCTGTTTTTCATTTTTCTTGCAAGAAGAAGGTAAATTAATACTGGGTTATGATTTATATGCTCTGCTATAGGTTGTGGGAGAATCTCAGAGGAAGGAGGAATATTTCTGCTTCGCTGAACACTATTGTGCTTGTTTTTCATTCTTCTATGACATTGTAAACAGAGGAGAACAGCTTTGTGTGAGTTTTGTATGCATGCTTCTCCATAATTTTTGTTCCTACAATCTTTCATGATTCTTATATTACTTATCTTCCGTTTTTCTTTGCAGTGCAAGCATCAATTAGCAGCAAGACTTGCTACATCGGTAGGAGTGTGTGTTGATGTTAAGGTGTCTGATGAGGAGCTAGCTTTACTGCTTTCCAATCTCTGATGTAGTTGGACAGAAGCTACAATTGCATTTGGAGTTGAAGGGGTAAACAACGAACAAATCACATCTAAACTGGTTTATCAATTGTTTTATGTGTTTTTTAACTTCGTGAATTACTGCTTTTGGAATCTGAAATTCAGTACTCTTGGTTATCCTCAAAGTTTTACTTTTTAGGCACTTTAAGCATGGTAGTTGAGCTTTACATTCATATATTCTTTGCTTACTGCAACTTTGTAGCTACACTGGTTCCATAGAATGCTGTGAAGTGAGTTCAACAGTCTTGCTAGATTGTGTTTGTTGAAAGGAAATGAGAGAGGGAGGACATATCCTTCCATAATCAAATAATAGGACTTTTTTTTTTTGGTGTGTGTGTGTGTAAAGTGTAACAAAGTGAATGCTCTCAAACCCGAATTTTTATAAAGCCATGTTTATAATTTTGTGGCAATAGCATATTAGGAATGGATGAGAGTATATGCATCCAAGCAGCAATGACCCAAAAAAAGATGTTGGAAATTGAGATTAAAGAAAGCAGCAAAACCTGACATTTGCTCATCTATTGTGAAGTGAAGGAGCGAGTAGTGACCTAACCTTATTGGCTGTTTTTCATCAGAGTAATATTCGCAGGGGCCCTTGTGTTTTTCAGATCTTACACACAGACATGGTGGATTTTTTGCAGATTCGCATTCAGATCTTAAACACAGACATGCGATTAGGTTTTTCTTTGATAACTTTGGAAAGAAGGTATAGGGCAAGAAAGTTGGTGCAATGATGGTTAGTTCTGTCTTCCTGGGATTAGGTTATTCTTTGACTGCTTTGAAAATAAGGTATATGGAGCACAAAAGTTGGTGCAATTATGGTAGAGGGTATTTGCTACCTAACTTTCTAGTCTACAACAAGAATGCCTAGAGAAGTTGTTTCACTGTTTCATAGTCTTCTGGGTTTGTCACTTGTGTCTGAGATCCACAGCTGAAGGGAGACCTTTGCTATCGGGGAAACATTGTAGGATTAAATGACTTTTTAAAATATTCAAATTTTTGCCCTGAAGATGTGTTTACATAAAATGGAGCCACTAATAAGAACAAACACAAGAATCGTCAAAGCAAACTGGATGGTAATGAGGTTAATTATGGAAAAAAAAAAAAAAAAACAAACAAACAAACAGAGAGAACGATATTTTAGAGGTGATGTCTTTTAGGGATTTATGCATCATACAGAATATAATGTTTTTCTTGATAAGAAAGTTCAATTTAAAGCAATATAAGCTGCACCATGGCGAAACTTAATAAGGTTTGGTCTGCATTGGTCATTAGTTGAGATTCTATAATTTTTCATGTTGGTAGCAGCGTAGTAGTGTGCCAAAGCCGTTGTATTGTCTGCCAAGTTTCTTAATATTTCACTGCAGTTGCTTACAACCCTGAGTAATGTTTCTCCATTAGGATTCGGAAACGATTTCTTGATTTTTTGTGGATTATGGTTTTACATTTTTTTCTGTTTCTGAAATTATTCCTCATTGTTTCAGATGGCGGAGAAAGCTACTGCCTATTAGTGACCATCCTGCTATTGCTTAGAGAGTAGATACAAGGAAAACTGTATTCATTAGTGCATGGAACAGGTACCATCCTGTTTCTGAAATTTTTTCTTGTCGGGTAAAATATTTGTGTATAGACATATTTCTAATTTTATTTAGACATGTGCTTCTGCTGTTTCCTTTCTTCCCTTCAATTTCCTAATCCGTCTAGCATCGATTATATTATGATGATTGATGACACTCGAGTTCTTAAATGTATCGACTTGACTTGATAAAAACCCTACAAACAAAACAAGTTAATAATTTTCTCCTAATTCTTATGAGCAAGTCATGATGTAGAGATGATTATGGTTTTAGACAACGAATGGTGTCCATTTAGGCGGGGGCTGAACCAGGGTGAAAATACTAGGAAGAATAAATAATAATGCTCTGTTGTATTGCCAACAAACACAAATCTAACCTAAAATCTATAATTACTGTTCCTAAATCTCAACTTTAGCAAGATAGTGGCTTTTTACTTGTATAGTTTCTCAGCAATCAAAGAGACCACAAGAGTTGGAATCAAGCTGCTCTATGCTAACTCAAATTAGACTACACCTTGTTTTATCTGAACCGATCTTGGATTCAGATTACAGATAAGCCATGTCCATCAGGTCTTTGAACCCTCATGTGGCCATGCCAGCCTAAATGTATCTGAAGAAAAATGCCAATATCATGCTAAAAATATACCATTAACATAAAACAAACAATAGTACATTCAAGATTCATCAGAACTGTTATTAATTTGCACATACCATTGTCAAATACAGAAACATACCAATAGATCAAAAAATCAAATACAACATCAACAACAACAATGAACATGATGAAATTTGTATACATAGTTTGAGGAAGAAAGTGCTTCTCTTTAGACATATACATATTTTAAGGAAGCAAATGCTTCTTTTTCATTATTATTCTCTTCTTTCAACAACATATAACAGAGATATTAACAAACACCAAGAAAATCCCCATCTGAGGAACAATTCTGTAAGCTTTCATCTTATCGATCCAAGAAATGAACGACGTCTTCGAGTTCCTAAAACCCAAGAACCGATGCTCTTTGCTCTTGTTCATACCATCCAACAATGGCTCAGCACTGAAAGTAAGATCAACAAACCACCAAACTCCAACCTCTTCTAATTTAGTAGGCAACAATCCATTCTTACTCACAATCTCATCCCACACCGGGCCCTTATCCTTCATCATCTCCTCCAGACTCATACTCAATCCATCCTCAAACTCACAACACTGTGTCCCAAATTGCTCAGCCAACACCTTCCACAAATGCTTCCACTTAAACACATCCCCATTGCTGCAATTGAAGGCCTCATTCTTTGCACATGGATCCACCACCGCCCATATCTGATGCTCGGCAATCAAGTCCGCGTCGACACATTCGAGTACCCCTCCCACGCTGCCCGGCTCCCCGGAAACCTCAACGGAGCATCCTGCTTACAAATTGCAGCATAGACACACAGGGTACCCACAATGTTCATCATACTATACGATGAAAAACCAAATATCAACCCGGGTCGATGAACCGGCCACGTTAAACCCTCCCTCTTCCCAACCTCTTCCCACAAAATATCTTCAAGGGTATGGTAAAACTTGGGCACATCTAGCCTAGGAAGATCCTCATGGAACGGGGAATCATGGGGTTGAAATTTGCCCCACAGATCAGACGGACCTATGCAATGTTTTAGATCTGTTTGAAGGCAAATATGCTGCAAATTTGGGGAATTGGGTATCACTGCGTTGAGCACGTTTCTCAACATTTGTCCATTCACTTGGCAATTTTCGATTTCAGTGGATCTTCTAGACCAAGTTAGTAGAAGATGTGAGTGATGTTTTGGAGGATTGAGAGCTTTAATTGTTAGTATGAATTGATGACATTATTGAATACAACAACACACACTTATATACACACACATATGTATATATGTATAGAGAGAGAATGGAACAGAATTACTTGCCTTTGCAGCGCCAATAGCTCCGGCCCACCACCAGCTCATTTTATTGTTTCAGCTGCAGCTGAGTTGTAGAAATGGAGATCTGTATGTGAGTTTGTGTGTTTGGGAAGAGAGAAAATTGTAGTGGCTAACAGGCGGCGAGTGAGGAGCTAGTCAGTGATTCAGTCCCTCCTCCATGATCCATTAATGTCATTAGGCACCGATCTGTGAAGGGCTGCTCCACTGAAATTTTTTATTATTATATTTTATACCTTTAAATTTATATTTTTTTGCATTTATATCCAAAAAAATTTGAAATTGCCCCCACTAAAATTATGCCCCTCTATATAAATTTGCCCCCATATGAATTCGTAGATCCCTGAATGTCCTGCATTCACAATATTTAATAAAAACGGAACCTATGGAAACTAAACCAAGTACTCTGTCTGGTAAGTGAAAATAAATGAAAATGGTGAAGGCTTGCTTTATATGAGCCTGGAGATGCGGTTGTAGAGATCCAAGAAATCACAGAGATCAGTGACGATGTCAACTAGAGCAAGTAAAGGATAATATTGCTCGTGACAAGATTTGAACACTCAACTTTAATGCACATTGTTACTTGGTGGTCCGGTCTAATCCAAACTATTTAATTAAAAAAAGTATAATAATAAAATAATAATAATAAATTTGACAACCCATATTTGAAATTAAACATTGTACTTGTGTAATAATATGTCGGAAAGAAAAGTAAGCATTTAGTTTTGATTGTATTCAACCACTAAATGAGTGTCAACTTAGCTTGGAAATACAGATATTACTTTTGCCAATGTCATTGAACTTTGATTATTATCAAATTAATTTTTTTTTTTTTAAAATTCATTTAGTGGCCACAAAAAATTCATTTACCGAAATTCAAGTTCAATATATGCCCTATTTCCATTTGCATAATATAAATAAGGATACATCAAATAATTTGATTTTTTTTTATTTAATGAGTTAGAGATTCTAACGTCATTTCAGTTTTCAAATGAAACACATCTAATCAAATAGAGAAATGCAGATATCATTACCCTTTTCATTATTTATTTATTTATTTAATAATATAAGCAAATTGTAATTGTATTTTCTGTACAATTTGACATTTTCCATCACGATTTTCAGTCATTTTAAAGTATAAAAATAGTATAAGTTATGTAGACAGATTAAAATGACTTAATTTGATTATATGCCAAATCGAAAGTGAAAATACTTTGGTATGTTAAACTTTATCTGATGTGTTTAGATGTGTATTATCAGATAAAAAATACTATTATTACTATAATTAATCGAAAGTGAAAATACTAGGAACATATATAGTCCTCAATAAAATATAAATATCAACCATAATTTCTCCATGGTTGAGAGCTTCAGTCAAGTGGGATAACGGCTTATTATAAAATTAGCGATGTTAGATGATTAACTTTTGTTTTGATATTTTAAAATAAAATGGGGTTATTTAATAAAAAATAAATTGGTGTGACACACCATAGAATTAAACATCACATTATGTAAGAGAAAAAGAAATAATGGAGGGATCCAAATACCAAAGAGCATCTGGTGTGCTACAAACATTATGCAAGAGAAAAAGAAATAACGGAGAGATCCAAATACCTAAGAGCGTCTGGTATGCTACAAACATTTAATCTATCTATTTTTTAAAAGTAGATTGTCACGTAAACTTTATTTTAATAAAAGGTGATGAGGTGCCGATGTGGTACTCTATTTTTTGTTATCCAATATATGTTCATGGCGTGGAACTCAATTATCTCATTATTTATTTTTTATTTTATTAATTTAATTTAAAAATTAAATAAAAATTTTGAATTTTAATTTCATTATTTTATTAATTTAATTTAAAAATTAAATAAAAATTTAAATTTTATTATTTTTTTGTCTTTTTCTCAACAGCTATATTTCAATTTCTATATAAACCACTCATTATTTATCTTCTTTTGGAAGTGAGATGGTTGGAATTGAGAATGAGGTGGGAATTGGGGTTGAGATGGATTTTCAGATTGAAAAAAAATTTGAAAAATCCAATTTATAATTGGATTGCGGTGATAATTCGGAATTATGAGATTGGTTGAGATGGGAGCAAAAGATTGGAGGTAGAGGATCTATGAAGATGAATGTTAAAAGAAATATTGAGAGAGACAATTGTTGAAAATGAGAATTGTTAGTAGTTGAATTAGTATTTATAGAGTGAGTGTGTGTGTGTGTGTTTTTTAAATAAAAGAGTTATTTGAGTGAAAAAAGCTATTGAATGATAAAAGAGCTATTGAGATAAAAGAGCCGTTGAGGAATGAAAACAGATCACCGAAAAATTGAAAACCAGAGAGAGGAGAGATTTGTATAGGCAAAGGGTATTGCTGATGCTGTGCAAAAGACAAAAAAACCTTGATATCTAGAGAAGAGACCAGATAGGAGCACATAAAATATTCTAAACAAATGAATAGAATATATCCATATGTTCTCGATACGAGCATGTGGGAGCCACTAAATTCATATTCCATCTTTTGTCCATACCATCCCCTCTCTTCTTTACAAAAATCTTATCTACTTTGATCCACACCTACATGCTCTAACATAAAACCACTAATGCTGTTGAAAAAAAAGTTGTGTACCAAAACGAGCTATTAATGGTATCTTGAATTATCTACGAACAGCAAGAAAAATCGGCTAAAACAATGACAGAGAATAGAACCAAATAGATTAGATCATAGGAGTGAGAAAAGATAAGAACAGAATATGAAAATAAACAAACAAATAGCAAAAATTAGACACGTATAAAAACATTTTCAATGGTGCACTGGACGAACACGTATAAAATCTATATCTATATCTACATTCCTTATAGTGTCGAACCGCTTTCCTGTATCTATACTGTTTATAAACACCAGAAGCCCAATTATAACCATCAACAGACAACAGCCCTAGCCCATTGTCATGGATTATTGTTCCACATACATTAGGGGAGAGTGTTGGACATACAAGGTTAGGTGTTAGCATAATTAATACCATAATTTTTTTTGTCAGCAAAACACACCGCCGGTGACAAGTAATATCAAAACAGGTTTAATCCTTGAGCCGATGTCACATTAACGCTTACACGAAGGTGTCCAGTTGGGCACACAGGTTTGGGCAGGGAAGAATTTCATAAATTCTTATTTCACATCTGATTTTGATGAGAGGATCTTGTCAAATAAAGTTAAGTTTTAGTACCACCTAATAATTTAAAATTTTGAGGACAACGATTATGGTTTTTAGACCACAAACGGTAACTATTTAGACAAGGGCTGCACCAGGTTGAAATGTAGTTGAAGAATAAAGAATAATGCTCTATTGTATTATTGCCAACAAACAAAAATCCAACATAACATCTCCAACTACCATTCCTGCATCTCAACTTCAGCAAGATTGGAGGCTTTTGTCATCTCAACTTCAACAAGATTGGAGGCTTTTGTTTCTCGTATACTTTCTCGGCAATCAGACAAACCATAAAACTTGGACAAATTACACACGAATGAACCATTCAGACTTACCCTAAAATAAACCACAAAAACCCAACAAAAACTAACAGATAGGGCCATGTTCATTAGGTTCTGGCCAGCAAACGACACTCTGGTGGCCAAAATGTAGCTAAAGAAAAATGCCAATGCCAGCCAGAGATATACCATTAACATAAAACAAACAATAATAATTTGCACATATACCATTGTCACATACACAAAACATGCCAATATAGCAACAAATAAAATACAACATCAACAACAACACCGACCATGATGAAATTTGCGAATTGCAACAACAAAAACAACTGAAAGAACCAAACAGATAACATAGTTTGAGGAAGCAAATGCTTCTCTTTCATTATTTTTCTCTTCAATCAACAACATAATATAAGAGAGATATTAACAACCGCCAAGAAAAAACCCAGCTCGGTATCAATCTAAGGAACAATTTTGTAAGCTTTCATCTTATCGATCCAAGAAATGAAGGATGATTTCGAGTTCCTAAAACCCAAGAACCCATGCTCTTTGCTCTTGTTCATACTATCCAACATTGACTCACAATTCAGAGCAAAATCAGCAAACCACCACACCCCAACCTCTTCCAATTTCGTAGGCGACAATCCATTCTCACTCACAATCTCATCCCACACTGGCCCTTTATCCTTCATCATCTCCTTCAAACTCATATCCAATCCATCCTCAAACTCGCAATACTCAGCCCCAAATTGCTCGGCCAACACCTTCCACAAATGCTTCCACTTAAACACATCCCCATTGCTGCAATTGAAGGCCTCATTCTTTGCATATGGATCCACCGCCGCCCATATCTGATGCTCGGCAATCAAGTCCGCGTCCGATGCATCGCAGTACCCGTCCCAATTCGCCCGATTCCCCGGAAACCTCAACGGAACACCCTCATGCTTACAAATTGCAGCATAAACACAAAGGGTGCCGACAATGTTCATCAAACTATACGGCGAAAACCCGAATATATTCCCGGGACGATGAACCGTCCACGATAAGCCCACCTTCTTCACAGCCTCTTCCCACAAGATATCTTCAAGGGTATAGTAAAAATTGGGCACATCTAGCCTAGGAAGATCCTCATGAAACGGAGGGTCATGGGGTTGAAATTTGCCCCACAGTTCAAAGGGACCTAAGTAATGCTTTCGACCCGTTTGAAGGCAAATGTGCTGCAAATTTGGGGAATTAGGTATCACTGCATTGAGCACATTTCTCAACATTTTTCCATTCACCTCGCAATTTTCGGTTTCAGTGGATCGATTGGCCCAAGTTACATAGAAGATGTGAGTGATGTCTTGGACGGCTGAGAGCTTGGATTGGGTTTCTTCGGGGTCTGAGACATCACACTGGATGTATTCGACGGGGTGATCGGCGTTCCAGGACGGGCGTGGGCGGCGGGCGACGCCGTAGACCTTCCATGGGCCGCCGGGGGTGTCGGAGAGGGGGAGGATCTCGGCGAGGCTGTTGCCGACGATGCCGGTCACGCCGACGATTAGACCGACGCTTTGGTACTTTGGTGGCGCATCGTCGTCTTCCAATTTCTTCTGTAATTATATGATTGGAATGTGGTAACGGATTAGATTTGTTAGTATGAAAAATTGATGAGAGATTATTGAATCTAAAAATAGATATAAACACACGTGCATATATATATATATATATATATATATATGTATATGTATATGTATGTATGTATATGTATATGTAGTTATGTACATGTATATATTGAGAGAGAGGAACAGAATTACTCGCAGATTTCTTAGTTCGGATCACGAAACTTATTGATTTTCAGATTTGCTAGTTCGAATTCATGAAACTTTTAATTATAACCACAAATTACTCGCAGATTTCTTAGTTTTGAATCATAATTGAAGTTAACAATATATATATATACACACACACACACACACACACATGTATAGAGAGAGGAACAGAATTACTTGCAGATTTCGTGAACTGCTTGCAGATTTGTTAGTTCGAATTCATGAAACTACTGAATACAACAACGTATATAAATATATATATATATATATATACACACACACATATACATATACAGGGATGTAGAGAAAGAGGAACAGAATTACTTGCCTTTGCAGCGCCAATAGCTCCGGCCCACCACCAGCTCATTTTATCGTTTCAGCTGGAGAAATCAGTTGTAGAAATGGGGATCTGTGAGTGAGTTTGTGTGTTTGGGGAAAGAGAAAAAGAGAGAGAAAATTGGAGTAGCTGACAGGAGGCGAGTGAGGTTGTAGGAAAAGGCTATACAATATTTGTGGTGGGATTGTGAATCTAATTTTGCTTTTAATTTATTTGTCAAATTGTCACCTTCTTCTTCATTCACGCCCGCAGTTGAATACTCTTGGGTCACTTTCAATTGGGCCCAAAGTCCAGATTTGGACCCAAGACTCAATCATTTGTGCTAGATATAAATACCAAAAATAATTTTTATTTATTTAAAAAGTATGAATGATAGTGGATAATCATGTGCATTAAAAAAAAATCATGTGCATTAATTTTCAACTATATTTTTAAAAACAAGTGCAATTATTAGTTCCATTTGGAGATAAGGGATACATTCAATATTGGACTTAATACTACAACATTCAAGATTATATATAAATCTTAAAAATTAAAATAAAAGTGTACCACAACCAAGCTCCGATTGCATAAAAAATCTCAATTCGTTACCATAATCAGACTAATACTATTTTTATTTTTTGGAAATGGATCAGACTAATACTAGAAAAAAGTTGTGTATCACTATTAATAGTAGTATTTTGGATTTTCTATGAACAACCAGAAAAATCAGCCAAAAAAACATGTCATATACTATACAAAACAATGACATACTCCTCCGTATTATACGACCAAATAGATAGGATCATAAGACTAAGAAAAGATTACAACATAGAGCAATAAAATAAAGAAGAGAAAGAAAAATAAAAATTGGACACTGTAACGTGTGAGGTTAATCTTTTCTTTCTTTATTGTTTCTATATATATATATAATATTATTTAAAGCGTGACATAATGATCTGCCAAGCAATTCCTGTTGATGGAAAACAAAATCACCAGCTTAAAACATATTCGGTGATGCATGTGCAAGCCTAGAATTTCAAGGACCTGATGCACGTATTTTGTGTTGAATTATTGGCTGCTTTAACAAGTCGGACACGGCTATTATAAAAAAAAATTAATAAATAATTAGTGTCCATTTAGGCAAGGGCTGAACCAGAATGAATCTACAACTACTAAAATCTACAACTACTATTTATAGTTTGAGGAAGCCAATATGCTTCTTTCTTTATTATTCTCTTCTTTCAACAACACATAGCAGACATGGGGCTGTCACCCCTGTTGTACAGTTTCTATATATTTTATACAATCATCAGAGTACGAAATATATATATCTATATATACATATATATAACAGAGATATTAACAACTCGATATCAATCTAAGGAACGATTCTGTTAGCTTTCATCTTATCGATCCAAGAAATAAACGATGATTTGGAGTTCCTAAATCCCAAGAACCCATGCTCTTTGCTCTTGTTCATACTATCCAACTTCAACTCACCACTCAGAATAAGATCAACAAACCACCACACACAGGGACGGACCCAGCAGGGGACTAGGGGGGCATCTGCCCCCCCTGAATTTTTAATATTTTCATTTTATATCTTAATGTTTTTAAAATTTATGAAAATGCCCCCCTAAAATTACAATTCGCCCCCACTGGATTCTTTTTTTTATAGCATTTTATACTTCAAATTTTGATAATTTATGAAGATGCCCCAATATAATTATAATTTGCCCCACTGAATATTTTTTTTTTTTCATTTTATACTTAAATTTTTTAAAAATTTATGGAAAAAAACCCTATTAAAATTACAAAAATGAACTCATCATATAATTTTGTACCCACAAATTAAAAATTCGCCTCCCACCAAATTTTCTGGGTCCGTCACTGACCACACTCCGACCTCTTCCAGTTTAGTAGCCTAATAAGATCAACAAACCAACATAATATCTTCAAGGGTATGGTAAAAATTGGGCACATCTAGCCTAGGAAGATCCTCATGAAACGGAGGATCATGGATTTGAGCTTTTCCCCACAGTTCAAAGGGACCTATATAATGCTTTCGACCTGTTTGAAGGCAAATATGCTGCAAATTTGGGGAATTGGGTATCACTGCATTGAGTACATTTCTCAACATTTGTCCATTTGCTGGACAATTTTCAATTTCAGTGTATCGATTAGCCCAAGTTACGTAGAAGATATGAGTGATGTCTTGGAGGGCTGAGAGCTTGGATTGGGTTTCTTCGGGGTTGGAGACGTCGCACTGGATGTATTCGATGGGGTGATCGGGAAGGCCCAACACAAAAACACAAGACCCACCACTGAGGGATCCATGGAAACCCAACCGAACACCAAGCCTGGATCAAAGTGGAAGAGCGACGCAAAAGGGCCAATAGGGTTGCCACCGGCCGAAACACGCGATCCATCAATCGAAACAAAAGAACCACCGACCAGGTGGTATGATGTGACATATATTAAGTTCCAATTTTAACATAAAATTGACATATATTAAGTTCCACCAACAGAAGATATTAGATATTTTTATATGTTGGTACTTAAAACCAACTGCTACACATAAAATGCTTTAACCTCCCAAAATAGATTTTACATGGAAACAACTCTTACATGAGAGTTTTACCAGCTTCTACCCAAGTAAAACATAGTAATCTATATGTTGTCTAAAACCTTTACAAATCACAAATGCAAAAATATCAATTAGCTTCAATTTCATATTCACATTCTTCAATTACATAATAAATGTAATGGGAATCATTACTAGAAGGTCCAATGCAGCTGCTGAAACTAAAATCAACTTTTTTATTAACGAAATGACAAGTAGTTTATCGTAACTTCAACGAAAGGTCCTACTTCAATTAACAGAGATATTTTTGAAAGAGAGACCCCATTTCTAAACATCCAGGTACAAGAAAAATCAGTGTTCATTCATTTTTCATATGACAATTTACAATGTTGGCTCAACTGCAAAATTTTCAGCAGAGTCAAAAATTATGGGGGGGATTTAAAAAATTAGATAAAATGTTTTCCAGTATAAAAGAACCCTCCAACAACATGAAATTATTTACTAGAACCAAGATCAAGAAAAACTTCTGAAAACCATAGAAAAAATAACGCACAAATTGCTCAAGATGATGAAATGATTCCCAATAACATATCACCTGCCTGACCCCAAAATGGATTTCTATTCTCTATTGGGTGTGAATTTAATACAGAATCAACTCACTCCCGTGTTGGAAAGGGCCAGAAGATTCTTAAATCTACACCTAACCTCTAGAAGTCCTTTCCTTTATTTAGATGACTACATACATACTACAAGAATATAATCATATAAAAAAAAAATACATATATATAACAAGAATATAATCATATAAATAAATAAAATAGTATCAGCCATCACTAATTAATGGCAGATATAGATTCCTATTTAGTGTTATATTGGTGATTGTACATACCATGAAGTTTTTTAACTTTCCCATTTCCAACTGAGTAACACAAGACTTGATGTCAGCTATACAAGCCAAGTGAGCAAGTCCTTCGCCTCTAATATACAGTGGCGCATGTATCAGCTGCTGATCAAAAAAGGAAAATTTACAACAATATCACATTTCTGCTTACTTCTTGCCACATTGACACATAAAACAGGCAGAAGAAGTGTGAACGAAACGAACAGGATGTACAAGTTTCAGAGCCAAGGAGTACACAAACTCAGCAGCAATTGAACCAATAGAATTGGATCTTCAATAATCATTTCCTTGTTAATCGTTCTGATAATCTGCATTCTTCCTCCCTGGAAACATGTGGATTAAGCCTCCGAAGGCTATTAACAAACATTATTGCCTCATCCCGCCGATTGTGCTTATAATACGAATCTACAATGGAGTTGTACGTGCTCTCATTTGGTTTACAGCCATGCTTAATAATGTATTGAACCACATCATTGGCCTCCACAAACATTGCATCAGCAACATAACTTGCAACAAAGGTATTATACGTGATGACATCTGGAATAAGACCAGAATCCCTCATTTCCGCAAATACCCGTGAGGCATCTCTCATCCGACCATTTCTGCAATAAGCAAAAATTACAGTGTTGTATGAAATTACATCAGGCTTGATTCCTTTTGCCAAAATATCCCTCAGTATTTCTTCAGATTTCCCGAAATTTGCAGAGCGGCTGTACATATACATCAAGCTATTGTAAGTAGTTAAGCTATGAGTAAACCCACCCTCAATCATGAAGTTCAATATCTCACTTGCTCTGGTAACCATCTGCCTCCGTCCATGTATCGAAACCATAGCATTCAAAGTAGTCATGTCAAGAGACGAACCTTTTCTTCTAAACTCCAAGAAAGCCCGTTCTGTTTCCATTAAAAGGTCACATTTGCTATTAACTAGAACAAGGGTTTTCAACAGCGCGGTATGTGGTTCAATTACGCCAGAGTATATCTCTTCTGCAAAAGCACACATCCGTTCGAGTGACTTCCCATTGGCATAAGCATGCAGCAAAGAACTGTACGTCAGCTCATTGGGTTTACACCGAACATCTTTCATCTCGGAAAGTACTTTCTCAGACTGTTTCCAAAGCTCTCCCCGTGCCAGTGCTGCCAAGACAGTATTATAGGTGGAAAGGTCAGGACTGACCCCTGCATCCAACATTCTTTTATAAACAGACATGGCTTGCTCAAAAGATCCACACCGGCTGTAGGCGCTAATTAAGGTATTAAAAGTGCCCCTCTCAGCTACAAATCCCGCTCTCTTCATTTCCTTGAACACTCCCGACACTTCGGAATCCAATCCATTCTGCCCAAATACTGCCAGAAGTGTATTCCAAGTAACAATATCTGGGGCACATCCGCATACCTTGATCTCTTCAAACACCTTCTCATCTCCTCAAAAACCCTCATTGCAGACTCATCCTTCCCAGCCTTCTCAAACCCTGATAAGAGAGTTGTATAAGTAAATACATCTGGCTTAATCCCTTTCCCCGTCATTTGGGTTTTAAACTCAATTGCTTCCTCCAAGAAACCATCCCTAGCACAAGCCGATATCAATGAATTGTAAGTCACAATGCTAGGCAAAAACTATTGGGAAACGTGCAAGTTTTAAAAACCAATCATGAATCTTGATTCATCACATAGAGACAAGTTTTATGTAAAAACAATTAAAGGATGATGCATCATTCAATAAACAGATTGAATACTTACACCAAAGGTCTGAGTAAACTTTTTAATCATTCCTCTAAAGTGAATCTTCTCACCTATTGTAAATTCCTTTAGCAAGATCCTTTCTCTTTCTTCTTGATTATAATCTTCCTTTTAGGAATCACCAATATGCCTTAATGAATGTAATATCCCTAATTTTAAAAGAATATTTCTGTTATTTAATTTTTGCTTTAATTGTTTTTTTTTTTTTATTTGGTTAATTGTTTACTTGTTTATTGTGTTGATTAAATGGCATGTATTTTGTTTTGTTAATTATTTAATTGTTAATTATTTGTTTAATTGTTAATTATTTATTAGTTTTAATTATTTGATTAATTGTTAATTATTAATTATTTGTTATTGGTTTTATTTATTTATTTATTTATTTAATTCATTGTTATTATTTTTTGGTACTTATAAACTTACGTAAGTTCTTATAGTCGACACTGTTTTAAATCTAGGTTGTTCAATGGGCCGAGTTGTATATGGATTAGGGTTTAATGTTTGGTCTATAAATATGTATGTTACGGTGGCTTAGGGTTTAAAACAACACAAAACAAAACGTAGATTTTCTGTAAGAATAGAGTCATACAGAGTGTTGTGAGGGCAGAGAATACAGAGAGCAGCCGAGTGTGTTTTGTGAGACAAAATACTAAGAGAACCTTAAGAGATTAAGGGAGGGATTCAAGAAGGAGTTCTGGATTTAACTAGGAACGGCAGAGGTTGATAACAACAATTGACGTTACCGGAGTTACTAGAGACGACAGTTTTAGATTTCCAATCAGAAATCAGAGGCAAGTCTCTGTTCTACTCTTTTCCTTTAATTTGTGTTCTGTGCATGCCTAGCTAGACTTCAAGAGTTTAACTAATGATAAAACGAAATAGTTGTGCATGCTTAATTGGATTTAAACAGAGGGTTTCATGAGTTTATATGCTTCTTCATGATTTCGTTATTTCTGTGATCTTTATGCATGAACTCTGGTTTGATTTGAAACTTTGCCTGCTAAAACGCTTAAAATAATTTAGTATGGACGTATGGGACTTAGGTTGAAGTTTAGAGGCCTTAACAATGAAGTTTTAGAATTTACAGAGGTTGAACGGACGAAGAAGAAAACCTCAGCACTAACTGAGGCGCCTAAGTTAGCAACTGAGGCCCCTAAGTTAGCAACTGAGGCCCCTAAGTTAGCAATTCAACCCCCTAAGTTAGCAACTTAGGCTGCTCAGTTGTAACTTAGCTTGCTCAGTTGGGGTTTTGGTTTTAAACGTCCAGTTTGGGTTTTTTTTGCAATGTTTGGACTATACAGAGTGTTAGCTCCTCGTTTAAATTGTTTTAAATGTTTTATAGGATTGTTGTGGACCTGTAATAACAAAGAGAAACAATAGTTCATAAATGGAATAGGGATTGGACAATGTGAAGCTCAAGATAAATCTATACGTTGCAAACCGTTTTGCTAGTTATGTTCCGGAACTTTGCAAAGTTTTAATATATGATTTAATGATATATAAATCATGTTTTACAGTGTTTTAGGTATGGTGATTTAATTAAACCCAACTATACTTAGGTTGGATATAATTGGTACTTAAATTGTTATTAAATGTATCAATTCATGGACTATGTTGGAGGATGTAAATGCTTAAATTTAATATAGTAGTTTACACTACTGGAATTGGATTTTTGGCTCTATTTTGAATGTCTGTTAGATGTATACGCATTAAATTTATTTTGTGCATATTCTGAAGTATAGTCGATGACTATTTAATTACTATATTGTCAACTGCGTTAACTGGAGAATTGTATGTACCGGTATAGGACGGTGACATACTAGGTATGAACTAGTTCAAATACTAAGTTCTACTTAACTTGGATTAAGGTATGGATTAATCATATAGGTTAAGTCCATCACCTACTTGTGTCATATCAATTGAGAATTGAATGACCTACTTTGGTTTCAGGACGGATTTGTTATACATATATCAGACCACTACATAGATGGATGGTATTTTGTATTAGGAGGAGTACGGACTTTATATATATATTATATGGTGCCGTGGTATAAGCTTGAGTCTCATGACCATGGTTTAGGCACGTATATCGCCTAGGATGGATAACTGGACATAGGAGTTATTCCCTGGTAGGTTTAGGTACTCATGCTCACCTTCGGGTGCGTATTCGCATGTTGCCTTCTATTTAGGCTAAGACAGACCTACTGGACTAGCGAGCGTCCTATAATGTGTACTATATACATATATGGACTACTCTAGATATTTTTAAGTCTTCCTATGATGTATCTGCGTATCGGATTACTGCTTGGATTGCAGTAGATCAGGATTTGCATATGGGCCTGACCCACTTCTTTATTTTTCAGGTGTTCGTCAATTCCAGGGTTAGAGCTTGGACGTGCAGAGCAGATACAGATATTCATTCCTCCGATTATGTAAGAATCTTCTCCATGTTAGCTTTGGATGTTATTTCTTTTATTTCAGTTTTGGTTTGAGAATTTTAATAAGGGGTCTAATGGATGGATTCCCGAGTTGTAAACTTATGGAATTTTGAATTATCGGATTTGATTAATTATGATACAAGGATTTTCTTTTAGTTTCTTTCAGCTTATTATTTTATTTCGTATTTCACTTTATATTCCGTGTTCGATTTAAAATACCTCAATTGTTTGTTATCCCTCGGGTTCGGGCTTGGGCCTGATCAACCCGCGTCTCGGCTCCGAGAGGTATCACAATGAATAAACTTAGAATCAAGGCTTGTGGTAGCCTTCTTTAGAAGAGAAAACAAACCCTAAAATCTAGAAAGAGAAAGTGTATTCCTTTTTCTTATTCTCAAAGTCACACCCCAAATATACATGTACCCATGTATATATATAGGTAAAACAAAAATAAGAAAAAGGAAACAATAAATCTTTCTCCATCTCTAAATCAAATTTCTCAATTCTAATAGGACTCCAATATCAACTTGGGTTATTGGTGAGAATCCTTTGGGCTTATTATTTTCTTGACTCCTATAAATTAATAATTGGTCCGGTCCACTAAACCATGGACCCAATTCAATTAATTCATAAATTAATTTCTACTCCACTAAAAGAAATTAATTTCACTCCAATTAAATAATAAATAACCTCTAAGTCAATGTTGCACTTTAACCCCTCTATGCATAATTATTTATCAGATAATTAAAGCCATCAATCCGACAACATAATTAATATAATTATTTTGTTACCTTTGATTATTTCCGGCTTGATCACAACAAAAATATTTATTTGACAAAAATAATAATTTACTAAATAAATATATATAGAAAGCATTTGTCTAAAACATACGAAGGCTTTCGAATTAAATTTGTGATCAACCATAATCAAAACAAAATAAATACAAAAAGCATTGATGCAAATATTGAGAACATAAACCTCTAACTATTAATTACATAACTACCCAAAGTGCCGATCTAAGAATCCTGAGGTATCCGCCAAACAAATCAAAGTAATTATTAATTAATAAAAGAGTCTATACTTCTCTCATGCTTGAGAGTCAAAAGCCATGCATGACGGTGATAGAGAGCAATTGTATACGATAGCTCTCGCAATATATCTCAATCTATCGTGGACTCGGTTCAAGTCTTAACTAATTAAATGTCTATCCATAATTACCGATTTTGAACCATTTATGATTACTAATTTATAACTTAGTATTAATTGTCATTACATACATACATAAATTTATCTTGTAATCAAGTGGACACAATCAATTCCATAACGAATCGAAAAATAATACATTCCATTCACCAATTGTATAACGCTTTAATAATAAAATTCAAATAAGGAACCATGACTTTTACAATCCAAAATAAGAATTTGCAATGGTAGGGCACATATATCCTAACAGCTCCCACTTGCACTTATAGCCAATTTGAATCACATCTAACTCCCATGTTCTCCATAAGACGACCAAACATCTTGATCGGTAAAGCCTTTGTGAATGGATCAGCAAGGTTATGTTCCGATGCAATCTTGGCCACAAGTATATCTCATCGCTTTACTATATCACGAACCACATGATATTTCCTCTGAATGTATCTTGTTCCTTTATGAAATTTTGGGTCCTTGGGTTGGGTTATAGCCGCACTATTGTCGCAATGAAGCGTCATAGACTGATCTATATGCTCCACAACCTCCAGTTCAATTAGAAAGTTTCTCAACCAAACAGCTTCTTTTGCTCCCTCAGAGGCTGCAATGTATTCTGCTTCCATGGTTGAGTCAGCAGTACAATCCTGCTTGACACTCTTCCAACTAACTGCCCCTCCATTGAACTTGAACACGTATCCAGATGTAGATCTCTTGGCATCTAAATCTGACTGAAAATTAGAATTCGTATATGTAATACCCCTAATTTCAAAAGGATAGTCATAGTATTTACTTTATTGTTTAAATTGCATTTTTAATTGCTGAAGTGTTTATGTTTTGCTTTAATTGATTATTTGATTAATTATGTTATTTAATTATTTTATTTAATTATTTATTTCATTGGATTTTATTTTGTTTTAATTGGTTATTTGTTTTAGCAAAATGTTATTTGATTAATTATTTTAATTGCATGGTTATCGTAATTGGATTAGGTTAAATGTGTTTTTTTATTAAATTAGGTTTTCTTGTGTTTTTAGAAGTCATGTTTTTAGCCGACAAGGTTTATAAACTAGGTTGTGTTTTATAGGCCGAGTTTCAGTTTAGGGTTTAGTTGGACTTAGGTTTATGGGTGACCTATAAATATATGTAATACGTTCTACCTAGGGTTTTAGAACCCTATTCACGATAATAGAGGCAGAGAAGGAACAGAGGAGAATTACAATAGTTCGCCAGAGAACTTAGAAGACGGAC